GCCCCCGACACAGCGGGGTCCAGCCGCCTCCAACCGACCCCCACAGAGCACGGCTCAGCCCCGCAGCCACAGTGGTGGTGCTTCTTTGAAAACATATTTAAAGAAAGGGCAAAATGTAGCCTGCAAGTGAGGAACAAAGGGGAAAAAAAATCCCAAACAACAACCAACTAAAACAAAACCCTACAAAGACCAAGGTCAGAAAAGGAGGAGGGGGAGGAGTTGCTCCAGGCACCAGAGTGGAAATCCTCCAGCAGCCCATGGAGAAGACCATGGCGGAGCAGACACCCACCCTGAAGCCCGTGGAGGACTCCTCATGCCAGAGCAGGAGATCCTGCTCCTGAATGAACTGAGGCCCATGGAGAGCCTGCAGTGGAGCAGATTTTCCCAACAGCCTGTGGAGAGAACCCTTGGTGAGGAGGAAGGAGTAGCAGAGAGGAGCTGTTACAGACTGACCATGGCCACCATTCCCCGTCCCCCTGCACCGCTGGGGGAGCCGGGAATGAAGAAGCTAACCTTGGAACAGGAGGGGCAGGGGAGGGCGTTTCTCTTTGTTTTTCTCACCATCCAACTCTATTTTAAACAGGCAATAAACTAATTTTCCCCAAATCAAGTCTGTTTTGTCCATGACAGTAACTGGTAAGCGATTTCCCTTTCTTTATTTTGAACCATGAGTCTTCTCATCCTATTTTCTCCTCTCTCTTATTGAGGAGAGGGAACAAGAGAGCATCTGGGTGGATGTCTGGCAGCCAGCCACAGTCAATCCACAAGTTCAGCAACACAGTGTGCAAATTATCCTCAAATATTCACTTCATCTTCTACTACTCCTGTAAGATTAAGGAATATTACTTTCAATTTTGTATACACAAAGCTGGGGAATAGAGAGATCAACATATAAATAATTTCGAATATCAAAAAAAAGAAATATCTGTTATTCAATTTAGTGGAACACAACTTCAGAGCACTCACTGGTTTTGAGGCTCCACACTTGTAGAAATAAGATCCACAATCCCAAAGGAGTATCCCCCCTAAAAAGGACAGGTACAATTAGTGACCAACTGTGAAAGATATGACTTCAAGTGACTTATTCAGCTTTCCATAGGAACTTTAAGGTAGATAAGTTGATCACTAGATCACCTCTGGGGGTCCCTTCCAGCCCAATGCATTCTATCATTCTATAAGTTAATTCCTCTGGGCTGTATCATACGTCTTACATAGAGGTCCCTTTCATCTTTTTTTACCTTGCTATGTCTCATTCACTATAGACTTTTCAAAGGGGATCTTAAAAACAAGCACCTCCTTTAACACAAAGGCCCACATCAACCTGTTTGCTGTATCATCTTCTCTTAATGTAAGCAGGGGAGCCAAGCTTCTTTGGGAAAGGACAACAGCAAATATGAAATCAGACAGCATCAAAATGCATACAAACACAAACCTATCTACTTCCAACTTTTCTGTAATTTTTCAGTGTTTCTCCACTTAAGCTTAAGTATGTTGCCAATAAAATTACTGCACAGGTAAAGTCCTTCGTTTCAGAAGGTTTTCCAAAGGGAACAGCCACACTACCTGTTGTTCCCTCTGCTTCCAATAGTGTTTTCAGACATCGACCAAATCCAATCAGGTTTAAAAGAACAGAAGAGTCAAAAATAGCTAAATTCATACTGGTTTTGTGAAAAGCTGGCACCTGGATAAAGACCTGAATAAATGTTTCCAGTGTGCTATAGACAGACAAAATCTTGCAGATTGCATCTGCTGGTCAGTTAGCACATACACACAACTCTTGACTAGTCACTGCAAGAGGTATTTCTGAGTTATTAGGACAATACCTGGGAGTCACACCAATCACAATAGCAAAGTCCAGGACTAACTCCTCTTTTAATTCCCCCTTGGGACTTACACGTTTTCCCATATTCTGTGCCATTGCCTGAAGTCTCCTATCATTTCTCACCTAAACAGCTCCCAGGCATCAAGACAAAAAAAAAAAAAAAGAGAGATAGGCCTTTCAAGACTTTTCCTACTATTTGCAACATAGTCTTTTCTTCTGTTGGGCACAGAACGAAAGCTGAAAACGTTTCTAAGATCTGGATGACATCTCCTGGCTTGTGATGTATAAAGAAATAGATTAAATGAACTGATTGTCTCTTTCTTGCTTAGGTCCTCTTGAAACACTGAAATATTCCTAAGTTTCCTCTCACGATCAAACATGCAAAGTAATTGTAACAAAGTGCAATTTTGTGGTTTATACTTTGTCCAAATGTGATCAAGTTTTCGCAAAGACAGCAAACAAGCACAGCTGTTATTAGAAAAAATGTTTTCAAGTATCTATTCTAAATATGAAGAGAAAAATATTATGCAAAACAATTTATTTTCCCATTTATTCCCAATTTTAGCAGTGGATCTAAATTTAAAGACAATTACACAAAAACTATCGACATGGAAAGCTTCAACCCAAGCTGGACAAATTTACAAGCAGCTGAAGAGTCACACATTTGTGACTATTCAGAAATTCAAGTGTCAGTACCAATTAAAGTGTTTTTAAACCCTGAAACAGTTCTTTACCAGAAATAACAACATTTTAGTTTGAAAAGTTCCAGTTCACAGGAACTGAAACTGTATATGGGAAAGTTCATTTAGACAAACCATCTCACTTCCACTACTGTGATTGTTAGGGGCTGTTCCAGTTTTAGTGTTAGCGAATGAAAATTTCTGATTTTTCCAAACAAGAACAACTGTATTTTCTCAAAAATAAAATAAAGGGTCTGTTTTTTTTTTCCAAAAACAAACAAAAAAAAATCACTTAAAAGTCCTGCTTCTTTACTTCAAAAGATTAAAAAAATAAAATGCAGGTATGTCAAGGACAAGGAGCAAAAAAACTCTTCTCCTTAGCTCTTTTACTCTTAGATAAATGCAAAGTAGTTACTGCTGGAGTAGGAAAGAAAAGCCAGGCATGTGAAATCTGCAGTACATTGGGACGGGGAACCCAAATATAGGAGGCATTAGAAATTGAGTAAGGAAGGTTGGAAAAGGTGAAGCCGGAATTTTAGAAAAGGTGAAAAATGTGAAAACTGGGATAGGCTTAAGAGAAACAGGACAGTGACAGCAGTGGTAGTGTAGAAATTCAGGAGTAGCTCTGTGAGAAGCTGAAAAGGACGTGACAATACAAGACCTGAATCAGGACAGAGATGCATTTTATTAAGAAATCATGGAGTGAAATCCAGTATTTTCCGACCTCATTAGCTTCAGCCTTGCCTACGAGTTCTCCTCTAATTCCTCCACTGTGCTCTGGAAAGAGTATTGTAACTAACACAGCAATCAGCAGCTCTTTAGTTCAAGTGGCAGCAGACAAAAAATTCCAGCCTCTGCTGCAGAATTCGGGTGCTAGCAAGATGTTGTAGGGAGGAATACGACTGCTACATTTGTGTCTCATTTATCACTGACATTCTGAGGTCTGTGCTCAGGAGGGGGGGAATGTGGGAGGAGGGGGTTGTGGTTAAGCAGCAAAATGCTGTCCAGAGGACCCAGATTCAGTCTCTACCTTAGATGTCCTGCAGGAAGCAAAGTCAGTCACTTCGTTACAAATTTTTCACAGGTGGTCATTAATTGTCTAGACCTAGTTCTCCAAGTAGCAGGGTTGAGCTAATTTACAGACACGCTGAATATTTGTGCATGCAAATGACTGAAAAATCATGCCAAATTGGTACCAAATACATCCAGCTTTAATCTGGTGCCTTGTTTCCAAACATCTGAAAATGGGAAAAAGACACCTACTCACTTCATATAACACAGACATGGAAATAAATCCAGTTACAGCTCCTTAGTTCTGTATAAACATATCGATGTGATGAGTAGCACACAACACACACACAAAAGAAAAGGGGGGAGGGGAACAACAGCTCTAAATATAGAACAAAATTTACTTGGCATCCATTGTTCTAAACAAGCAATAAGAAATAAGGTGGCAATCAAAGGGGCTGCTTATTTTTACTAGGGGCCAAATTTAGCCTTCTAATCTATGCCTAAAGACAGCATGATTCCTGTGGAAAAATCTATGCAACCACATCACTGAAGACTATATCATCTGCCCAAGGAAATGGAATGCAGATTACACAGAAAAATCTTAACTCTGGGTTTTCTGACTTTTGACTTCGCCATGATGGCATTCTTTTAACAGATATTTTTAGCTGTAATGCATCTTTAATTATGTAATTCATACACACGTACATATGCACATCCTATTTTAGTATAGGATTGTATCATTATTATTTATAAACTCAGCTTCATGGAAAAGAGACTTCAGAAAAAAACAGATGGCTTTTTGGGGATTGAGTCGGTAATGCAGAGAGTGCCACCTAATGGTGCTTGCTTTTTTAGCATATCCAGAAGAATTGTTAAATGCAGACGCAAAAGGCCAAAATGTTTACCAGCGTGTTTCACTAATTCAGAAAGTCCCCTCTTAAATACAATTTCATTTTCCTGCAAGCTAATGTTGACTAAGTCTCCGCCAATTCCAACAAGGAGTGGGAAAGATTCTTCTTTCACATGCTTCCGATTCTCTCTTGCAAATTATCAGCCCATATAGCACATCATATATTTACTTCAGAAGGAAAACACATATCAAGTCATTCTCCTGCAAACCCACTTCTCTGGGCTGATTTCAAAATCCTGACTCACAGCTTTCCAAATAATCCAATTACCATGTTACTTAAAATTAATTGCATTCACACAGTAGAAAAGAACTTTTTGCAGAGACAGAATACAGTATTCTGGCACTGCCTATGGCAGCTGTTCCTTATAGGTGCCTTCTGAGCAGAAGCTACTCAGAAGATAGGATGTCAGAATTTGGCAAAACAGCATGGGTCACAACTATATGAACATACCCATAGTAGCGTTGCATCCAGGGTTACAGTTCTTTGTGATTCTATTATCAGCCTTCAGACTGCTGGTGTTTTCCTCAAAACCCCAGTTCCTACAGTTACATACAGCTATGAGAATTTTAGACCTTCATAAAAAGAAATGAAGTTTCTGGCTCTTGCAGCTATGGGGAAGCGGACCAGAAAAGTATCACCTCTAAAATTTTGTAATGAAAAGAGATCAATCTAATTTCAATGCAAATCTCATAACTTGGGAGACACCAGCTTTCCTGAGTGATTGCTCTTTTCTTCACACACACACACCCCCCCCCCC